CCTAGACCGAGTGAGCGTGGAAGAGTCGTTTTCCAACGTGACTGCCGGGGACGGTTCCGGGCCCGCCCCTCGCAGCCCTCGGCGCGCACCTGGGGCGGGCAGAAGTGGCGGTGCGTGGCCCCAGCTCCTCCCGAGGCCGCACGGAGCCGGGGACTGGAATCCTTCCGGTGGGAAGGCGGCCGCTCGGTTGTTCTCGGACAGGGGCCGCGGTCCGGCCTGCTTGCGCGCTCGCTCGCTCTGCTCCCAGACTCGGGGACACCCGGGCGGCGCGGGCCGAGTCGCGCCGGGGCAAGCGGGGCGCTGAGGCCCAGCCTCCAATCTCGGTTGGCCCGGGGGAGAACCAAAAGAAGGTCTCAGCCGGCACCCAGCCTCCGCAGAGTCGCGCCTCAAACTCCGAAGAAGTCTTCGTGTTGAAGCGTTCAAGTGACTCTCGAGATCACAGTCTGGTTTCAGGACACACTTTTTGAAACCCAAGTCCCCGTCAGAATCCCGCCGAGTCGGCTTTTTCCTCCTTTACAGACCGAAGTGGGGTGCGGGGACAGAAGGCCGAGCCGCGTTGCCCCTTGAGTGGTGGATTGCTTGGGGAGGGGACGGGGAGGTCAGTCCTGGAAATTCTCCCTGCATCCCAGAGCTTCGGGGGTCCGGATTTTTCGTGCTGTCCTCGGGACTTTTTCCCGTCACCAAAGTTATTAGCACAAGAGAGGAGCTGAAGAGGAAACTCCTCCCCCCAAAGGCAGGTAGATACCCAGACCTCTGCTCTCAGAGCTAACACCAGGGCTTTCTTCTCGCCATAATTAATAGTCAAGGCCAACCCTTTTGGCACGTTTCTTCCTCCCTCCTTCGCGAGTGGCAGCGTTGTTTGATTCCCTGAGGCCAGAAACTTTCACTCGAGTTCGCCGGAGGGAGGCCCGCGCCGGCTGTTTTCCGCGCTGCCCGCATATCTCCTTTTTCTTTCTCTCTCCTCTTCCTTTTCGTTGTCTTCCGAGCCGCAGGCAGGTCGCCAGTCCGCGTAGTTTTGTTTCCTTTCCATCATGCAGAAAATTAATCAGCCCGGACGAGAAGCAGAGCTGAGCACGGCGTCCTGTAATTAAGGGACGTGTGCCCTTCGGATTATCTCGTTAGTTTATCAAGAAAACATTTATTATAATTAATTCTCGGACGAGGTAATTATTATTGAGCGAGGACACAGCAACTGGTAGATGGGCTCCTTGGAAGATGAAGGAAAAAAAAAAACACAAGGGGGAAGGGAGGAGGGGGGAGGGGAGCGACAGATTGCACGAATTGACCGTTAGATATAAGGCAGCGCGGCCCGAGGCGGGCAAGTGGAGCAGGACCTCGGGCACCGGGGCTGCGAGGCTGCAGGGCTGCCGGGCAGGGACGCCGGACCAAGTCACTCGCGCCCGGAGGTGTAGGCGCCAAGCGGCTGCGCGGACTCGCCGTGAGACCGCCGCCCGCTCCTTCTAGGTAGGAGTTCTCCAGGGGCCACCTCCTGAGCAGTTGTTTTGAGGCTTGTAATTTTGAAAAGGGATTTCTTTTTCTCCTTCTGGGCACTGCTTAGAGAGGAAGGGAGAAAAGCTTCCTGGCAGGGCTTTGAAAGTTAGATGGAAGTGTCTAAGGCCTCTTCTTTGGAGAGCGCATACCTAGGCTAGCTGTGGCGAACACGTTGTAGTTTTGTTTTGTTCCTTTTTCTTTTAAAGGTGTATCCGGTAGTAAATGGAAAACAGTCTATGCCGGGAATTTTGGTCATTTTTCGATGGTAGAGCAAAGGAGCTCCAAGAAGGATCTCTGTCCTGCTGTTTTCTGTTTGTAACTGCTTTTTATGCTGGAATGTGCTACTTTAATGTGTGATGTGTCAGGCATTTCTAATTGGGTGAGAGCTATACATGTAAGAACACTTCCATATTTCTCATGTGCACATCCGATATGATTTCAGTTGTTTCTATAGTAGTTCAGAACTTTCCAACATAGTAAGTTTGCATTAAACAAGAAAGAACTCCAGCTTAGAGGCTATTAAAACCAATACATGTCTGTATTTTAAAGCAATATTATTTTCACAGCCTCCAAACAACTATCTTGAAAGGAAAAGATAAAACATCAAGTCTTTGTTGTAGGAGCAACTAAATTAGTTCTACTGGTGAGATAATACAAACTCTGACAAGGGCATTTATAAAATTACATTAAATTAGATCTAAGGGTGGAAAAGCATGATTTTTATGCTACGAATTTAAATCAGGAAGAAGTTGCAGTAACTGGGTTCCATCTGTGGAGTTTTGTGTCTTGATCTCTTAAGCAATGTAAATATGAAAATCCAGAGTCCTTAAAACTCAGTAGGACCTCTGTAAAAGTAAGAGGGAACTTCTCCTAATCTTGTGTCCGCCATTTTGAAGCAATCTCTCATAGTGTCAAAGTTGCAAAGTAGAGATCCATGCAGGAGAAGTGCCACCTTTTAGGAAAATAAAAGCCAAAATTGCAAACAGCCAGTCTATAAACATCAATTTTGGATCCCTTTGCTTGGGGGAGTGAGAAATACTCAACAGAATAAAGTAAAGAACTTTTCTTTTTCTTCCTTCTTTTTCCCTCTCTGAGCTCTTTTTCTTATAGGATTTTAGGACACTTGAAAGGTAGGGAGAAATTCCATTCGTTTCACAACTTTGGAGGTTTGTGTATCTACTTTCTTCAAAACTAGAATGTGCAGAAAGGCGCAGAGGAAACTCTGCTGTAGCTGCTGAGCACCCAAATGCCCGAAAATTTGCCTCCTGCAGGATCAGCAGCCTCTACACATCAAAATCAACATGGAAGCGGCTTGCGCTACAAATGTGCACCCTTTCTACTTGCAAATGTGGGAGCCTGTCATTATCTGATTGGTGGGATTCTAACTTTACTTCAGAATTCCTAGCCCACCCTGTGCTAAACTTGACGACTTTTATTTTTGCACTGCGTTTAAATATTTGATGGGTGTCGATAAAAAGTTAAATACTTGTTTGTTTAGCTTTAGTTCTTTAGACACATATAATCAAGTTCTCCAAAACCCTAATAAATCTGTTACTTACCTCGAAATCTAATTACCCAGACTACTAATTAGGTGAAAATGATTACTGGAAATGACTTCAAATGTGGAATAATAGTGGTTGAGCAGTTTTCTCAAGTTTGCTGTTTAGCAAGTTGGTATTTTAGATGTTAAGTGCACTGACATTTTAGGTTCCCAGCAGTTGAAAGTGGTAAAAAGCTAAGATAATTAAAATCTGCCTTGGAAAGGCAACAGTCTGGGGAGAGGTAGATGTCTTGAATTGTTTCTTTGTTTCTCACCAATGGCCTTTGTTATCTGCATTATTTATTTAGCCAAAGAGTTCTTTGTCTCTGCAAATGGCCCCAATCAAGTTTTGTTTGGGACAATTAGCTAGTGCCAGCCAAGGAGTCCTATGCAAATGTAGGGATAGGAATGCAATGTGTGCATTTGGAGGCATGGGGTTTTGTTGGGGCGGGGGGAGCGGGAGGCAGATTGTATTGCTTTCTTCGGGTCTTTTTTTTTTTTTTTTTTTTTTGGTATGCGGGCCTCTCACTGTTGTGGCCTCTCCCGTTGCGGAGCACAGGCTCCGGACGCGCAGGC